CTCATATAGTGGTTGGTGCAGAGGTCCTTTGGGGTAAATGTCTTGTATAGAAGATGATGCATAAGTTCTTTAAGGGTATAAAAAATTGCACTAATTGATACATTCATTCTTTGGGATAACAGCATTTTATATTTTAATTGATGCAGTGGTTCTTTGGAATAGACATTTTATATAGAAGGTAACAAATCAGTTCTTTGGGATAATTATCTCATATAGTGGTTGATACATTGGTCTTTTTGGGTAAATGTCTTCTATAGTTTGTTTGAATTTCACGCAAAGCTACACGAGGGCTATCTGCACTAGCCGTCCGTAATTTAGCAGTTTAAGACTAGAGGGAAGGCAGCTAGTCATCACCACCCACTGCCAACTCTTGGGCTACTCTTTTTACCAACGAATAGTGGGATTGACCGTCACTTTATAATGCCCCCACGGCTGAAATGTGAGCATGTTTGGTGGGACGGGGATTCGAACCCGTGACCTGCAGATTGCGAGTCAAGCTCCCTAACCACCTGGCCATGCCGGGCCATCTTCTATAGAAGATGATGCATCAGTTCTCTATGGATGTAAAATATTAAGTACAGTAATTGAAAAATTAATTCTTTGGATAACATCTCATATAGTGCTTTATGCAGTGGTTCTCTGGGGTAAGTGTCTTGTATGGAAGGTGACATGTCAGTTCTTTGGGATAAATATCTCGTATATTACTTGCAAGGAAACAAGATATGAAGTTCTACTTAGAGTGAATTGGTGTCTGAAAATATTCTCCAAACACATTTTTTTCTTTAGTGAATGCTTTGGTTGATAAATCCTGAATAGACTGGTGTATAATTTGGTTTTTAATACATCATTTGTTTTAAAAGATTGGTTTCCAATTAACTTATGTTCAGGATAAGGTATCAACATTTTGTAAATACTGACAATTTTTTGGTCTTAAGTGGAAAAACAGTTGGTAGTGTATTTTATCTTGTGTTTTACAGAATGCTCCTGTAAGCTGCAGTCCTGTTGAATTGGAGAATGAGGATAAACAACTAGTTTGTGACATTGGTAACCCTATGCCTGCTTTAACACAGGTAGAGATGTTTACCATTCAGGTCAAAATATAACAGTGTTTTAATTATAGATATGATCCTTTAAAAGCAACAAAGATTTATGGATGACAAGTTTATGTTCTTGAATTATAAAATTGTATATAATTATTTTTTGTTCTCTTTTGTTTTAGGTAAGATTTATCATAATTTTTGCACCTGCTAAGCGCTTGTCTAAGGCTTTTGATTTATCGTTCAGTGCTGTAGTAAACAGGTAGGAATTTACTTTGTCTGTAGAGAAAATATACAATTATATGTTGTTTCATGTTGTGATGGAAACAAAAAATTAAATATTGAAATTAATTTTTCTAATACCTTAAAAAAGGTGCATAGACAATAATTTGAAACAGTGATTCCCTGGGTGGTATGTTCTTTAATTTAAAAAAAAAGACTAATTTTTGCAAACTAGTAAATTTTATTAAACTTAAAATTAAAAAAAAACTATATTCGGCAGTAAACTTTTTACACTGCAGCTGTCAGCGTCATGATATTGGTTGTGTACTGTAAGCTGATATCTTTATTATTTTATAAGAGCAAAATTAAGAAATTTCTTAGCTTACCATTCTCCAACTGTGTTATACAAATCTGACATAACTAATTGTTTTGGCAGTACCAACAAAGAAGAAGAAGCTGATTTAGTAGACAACACTCATTACATTCATCTACCAGTCAGAGTTGAAGTAGAAATAAATTTGCATGGGTGAGTTTTGTATTGTCTATAATAAAAATGTTTCAAGGGTGACAGACATCATTGCTAAGGAAATTGTAATGACATATAATGCATGAGATAAAGAATGTCATTGTTAGGAAAGTAGATTATGTGATTGATTAAAGAATATAGAGTATAAAAACTAAATTTGATATGCTTTATAAATATATTGTTTCATTTAAGTCGTACACCAATTACACATTAGATGTACTTGGAAACATAACATAGTTATTAATTGTAAAAGAAAAATACCTACTTAAACTGAAACATAAGTTATTTTTTGTGTCATGAATTTTAAGAGAAAATATATATTTAAAGCAAAGTATATATTGTTTTCAGTATCTAAAACACACTTCTGATCTTGTAAATTTCTGTTTCTACTTATCATACATTCTTTTGCTCAGTCTTACATTTTTTTACCTTTCTTCTCTGTAATTAAACAAGTTGCACACCTTTCTACTGGTATTCAATTATAGGGATAAGTAACTGCTTTACCAGTTCTATTCTTTATTGATAATCAATGGCCCTTACATTTTATCAAATTCTGTTTGTTCAAGCTTATTTCAAAAATTAGATATTTTTTAATGAAGAAATGTTAAAACTAGTACTGAGGAAAAAAAATAATACACTTGATTTTTTTTTTGTAAGATGCAGATGTAATGTCTTTTTTTTCTTCAAAAATAACAGAATTGCAAGCATTTATTAAATGTTTTTAAAATTTTGAAGTTGAACCACTTGTTAGGATGGACAAGTTATTAAACTTTAAGTTGGAACTTAAAAAGGATAGAAACCATAAATCAGGTTTACTCTTTGAGCATATAACACCCTCATTTAGTTTGTTACTGAAATAATAGCTGGATTTTAGAAAATCTGTAATAAGATTTCAGGAACTTTACTATTCACTTTTTCCACATATCATCATATTCATTAAACTCCATTTAGACAACTAACAGTTTTTGGGCAATATCATTTAAATAACAAATAAAAAAATTACACACGCACAAACACTGATCTGTTAAAAGTGCCAAACACTTTGGAAATTTATTTGAGACATCAGAGGATCGAAATAGCCAACCTTGAACCTTGACCTCAGTTTTGATCCACACTAGATAAAGAGTATTAACTTTTTCAGCACAGGCTCAGTCCCTGGGATCGACCTCATAACCATTTTGTGCTTGTTTTAGTTTTCATGCTATAACT